GTTTTTCCCAGGAGGTCTCCCATCCAGGTACTGACCAGGCTCACACCTGCTTAGCTTCAGTGGGTTGCCAGTTGTGAGTTGCAGGGTGATATGGCTGCAGATCAGGTGCTAAGGAAGCCTTAAAGCTTAGCAATCCACTGAACTGGTCTGACATCTTAGCCCACTTGTGTGAAAAGTCAACACCTGTGAAGGGCATGTTGCCCACTGTATCCCTCTTTAACAAATCAGAGCTCTAACAAAGGGGTTACTGCGAGGAGTCTAGCAGATGTGCTACACAATGAGCCCCCAGCGACACCCAGAGCTGAGAAGAAACGGGCACCTCACTGACCCACTCTGAAAGCTAGAGGCTTTCCTCCGTTGAGCTCCTCTTGACGTTTTCTGTAAGCCAGGACCTGCTGGAGCAGGACCTGAGCCAGTTCCTTCTTGCGGGGGTGCCTGGACTCCACCAAGGTGATGGACTGTGCCAGGCAGGCCCTGTGCCCCTGGATCAGGCCTTCATACAGCTGGGCCAGCTGCCTCCTCTCCCTGGCCTCCAGCTCCCCCGCCTGCTGGCCCAGGGCGGCTTCCACACAGTACCATCGCGGCCGCTCCGCGCTCACCCAGGCCCCGCTGCCTCCTCCGCCCGGCCACAGAGTAACGTGAGCAGCACCGCTAACACACCAGCGCCGGGGGGGCCTCGTCTGTGACAGGGAGCCAAGGTGGCGAAGCCGTGACAAGAGACCAGAGCAGCCCATTGCCCAGTTCAGTCTGCCCCTCCTCGCTCATTCACAGGGAACACGCCTGAAGGACATGGGAAAAACAGCATTAACGAATAACAAGCTCCTGGATTTCACAGATAAAATACGTTAATGCTATTCTAATCGTCATTCATTAGCCACCATTTTGTGGGCACCCCGTGTCAGTAATAACCATGCACTAATTATACTAGTTCCTTGTATTTATTTTAGCGCTTTTCAACCCAGAGGACCTCTAAATGTTTTATGTTGAGAGAAAAACTTCATTCAAGACTCAGCTTTCATTTGGAGGTCCCCCTTGCCAGTACTGACCAGGCTCTGTTCCTCTTGAGCTCTGAGGAGATCAGGCTTCAGGTTGAAAGTGTTGTATGCTTAAGCGATACTGACTGCATTGCTTAAGGAACCAGCTGAAAATGACAAACTATCCAACCCATACTGAAATACCATATCCCTTTCTGAACTCCCCAGTTAAGTCGAACAAATACTAACTACCAGTTCTTACCCACAAGAAGACATTCTATAACTAGCAAACAAGGAAAATAGGGGCTGTTTCTATAGGGGGTGGACAAAATAATGGAAACACCACATGAAAAAGGAGTTTAACTTTGAAGTAACTAAATCACAATTACAAATGCAGCTGCAAAATGTTAGGTTGATTGCCAATTAGCAATATCTGTCAGCTATAAAAGAGGTCTGACAATTAGCACTCCAATATGTGAGTTTTCAAAGCAACAAAAAGTTCCAAAGAGGCCAAATACTCTGTGGCACAAGTCAGGGACAGACGGACACTTCACAGGATAGTTGCTAAAGTACGGAGTAGAGTACAGCCTCAACAATTACCACAGAACTGAATCAGCACCTCTGTGACCCTGTCACAATGAAAACTGGATGTCCTGAGCTTCACAAAGATGGAATTTTTGGCAGGGCTGCCATTCAGAAAGTGCTTGTATCCAAGGCCAACGCACAAAGACACATAACCTGGACCCCTGAGCAATGGAGAATAGTAATATGGTCTGATGAGTCATTTTCACCCTAATTCCTACATCCAGACAGATTTACGTTTGGAGAAAGCCAAAGGATGCCTTCAACCCACAATGTCTGTTGCCAACTGTTAAACATGGTGGGGGACCCGTAATGGTATGGGCAGCCAACTTGTGGGAGTCATTAGGACCGATGATTGCTCTGCATGGTCGTATAACAGCCAAGCAATATGAGGCCATTTTACAGGACCAGATGCACCCTATGGTGCAAACACTGTTCCCTCATGATGCCCCCATACACACTGCTAAATAAGTTCAAGAGTGGCCAATCACCAGATCTAAACATCACTGAACCTTATGGGAAGTTCTGGAGTGCAGAGTGTGAAGTAGATTTCCACCTCCTTCATCCCTCAAAGAACTGGAGGCTTTCCTTCTTGAAGAAGGGTGCAATATCCCACTACACACAGTTCAGGACTTGTATGACACCGTTGCAAGGAAGATTGAAGCTGTTCTGAAGGCAAAGGGTGGCCCTACTCCTTATTAGGTCCTTGACATTAATATATTGTGAGGTGTTTCCGTTTTTTTGTCCATCCCCTTGGTTACAAGCATTTTGGGGGAAAGGAGCAATCTCTTCTAGTGATGTTATGTTCACAACAAACGAGATTAGCTGCAAAAGTGAAAATAAAAATAAAGGTAAACAATAATGAAACGTTGTTCTTCCCTTCATTTTAAAAAGAAAATGTTTAAGCTTTTTTTTAAATCACAAAAATACTCAGTTTATTCTTTATAGTTATCACACCAGTCGTCTTTTTCTAATGCCACCTGCAATGAAATTCATTTTAAATGGCTAAAATAAAACCATAAAATAGAACAAAGAACTAAATTATTACGAAAAAAATGAAACGCCTTCCACTACAGGGCTTGCTCGAACATAACAGATCCACATCTTACCTGGCTGTGACAAATATTTTGTAAATGCATTGCTAATCATGCGTTTTCGCCCGTGTACATTTTCTACAAAGCACAATGATTATGCACCAGCAACAGAAACGAACTGGAAAGGACATTTGACCTCAGCGACGTTCAGCTGACTTCTGTACTTCCCGCTTCCTGTCACATTGGGAAAGACAACCTTTAGAGAAACAACAGAGAAGTAAACGAGGTAGAAAACATAAACCCAAAATTATATTTTATCGTGATTTTCTTACAATTCTTTTGTGTGCTTTAAAATGAATCTCTCTCTCTCTTAAGTAAAAAAGTGACCGCGCGTAATACTAATCTTTAAAAACTACATCTCCCATGGTCCTTCCCCCTATACTCTAAATAGGTTGTTTCGCATAGATTGTATAATGCTGACCCCTAGTGGGTAAGATCTCCAGGACATTTGAATGTACAGTATGCCTGTTTCTGGTTTGATGTTTAGAAAAGTGATAAAACTGAAAATGAATTAAATTCTGGGATGTAATAGGAGCCGTTTGCTTCCTGGTCTGTAGTGGCTGTATAGTGCTGGACAGTAAAATTAGGATGTACGAAACTGAAGATTTCTTTGGTCTTAAGACGTATTTGAAGAACAGTATTATCCGCTTTTTATTATTTTCAGAACATTTTGTCAGCAATGATAATCAAAATAATGAATAACACAACTTGATTGTATGTACTCTCTCTTTAAATTACATATTAAATTTTCTAATTATATTTAATTATGATTGGACAAATTAATAATTAAATATTTCATTATAATTGGGCAAAAATATTAGGTTGTACTTTATCACGCTCCGGCTTGTCTGGCGAGACTTCCGTACATTGGAGAAAAAGACTTCACTAGACTGAAGTCTTTTTCTTCATTAGACGATAGAGACGGAAATTAAAGCAATTTTTACCAACTGTTTACGGTTCAAAGCGTATGTATTTGGTGTGCTGTGCTATTACCTTCTATTGGATTAATAATAGCAAATAAACTCCCTCATCCTTTGATATCGTTATTAAAATCACGTTAGACTATCGTGTTTTTAAGAAAACTACTTATATTTGCCAGTGCTCTGCAAACTACCTTCTCTCTTCCCCAAATGAAAATGTTACTTATAAGGCGCCATGCAGCTGAGCGTTAAGGTCTAGACGAGCTTCCTGAAGCCACGTGGCCACTGCTCGCAGCAGCAGGTGGGATACAGCAGCGCTCAAGGCTGTTTAGCGCAGGTCCGGGAGACCAGTAGGTGGCACCCTTTCCTTCCCATTGCAAACTCACCACTTCAGCGCCCGGCACCTCGGCGCGCCTCACTGCATCCTCGGGCCTCGGGCTGTTGAAAAACATGACTCGAATTCGAGGTTCAGATCAACTGAAGGCAAAAAAAAAAATCTCGAAGCACTACTGTCAATGCCTTGGACTTAGGTTTGCTTCTCACTTTTATTTAATACTACACTAAAAGTATGACTTGAGGCTTTTATTTATTTGCACAGTTTAATATTGAAAACAATAGCATCTGTAGTGTTTTTTATGTTTCTTTATAATCTGTCGTTTTTCAAGAATTCTGTTTGCATAGGTGAAATATGCAATACTATTCATGAAATAAACTCAAAAATATTTCCAAATAAACTATCTAGTGTTATTGTATGGAGTTTTGCTATATATGATTATAAGATGTAAGTTAGACTTACTAAGTTAGGCTGGACTTACTCAGAAACTATAATACTTGTCATAACATTTCTTGCATTTATACAACTGTCTTTATCCCAAAGGATCTCAATGTGTCTCACATAGAGAAAGAAGACCAGCTCCACATGGGTGACACACACACACCAGACCTTGAGTTAACATCTCATCTGACGTCTTGCACATTCGCCATCACACTGTCCTCTGTCACCATCCTTGGGCACTGGTTTGGAAATTCTGCAGCCACCTACCAGTACCAGTACCAGCCAGGTTCCCAGTACTGACTGCCCAGCCTTAGCTTCTGAGAACTGAGAAATCAGATCAGCCTAGGAGACAGGCAACAGGCACAGTGCTGTCGTTAAGAGATTCCAAAATACAGTAACATATCCATGCCCTGCATGTAGGTGAACTGATTAGGATTTAAAATGTTTTGTTCAAATGTGGAAAAAGACTCAATTTAAATACGCAAGTATTAAAGAGAAAACTTTTCCCCATCAGACGCAAGAGCTGGTTAACATGAGAGTCCAATGACAAGACGTGAGATTTAGACAACGAATAATCCGAGTCCTTGGCAGATTCCTGTGCAGGAGGACATTGTGGAGCTCACTTTGATTAACCGAATGTACATTCAGCTTCAATTTATTGCCTTTTACCTTGTGACCAGTGGGTCCTACAACCATTTATGAAAATGTGCTTGTTGTGCATTTATGAGTTGTTCTTGTAAAACCATATAAGGTTAAATAAAAAACTTAATATAAGAGCGATGACAGACACACAGACTAATACCTGAAAAGCAACTGCAGTTTTGCCTTTCCAGAACACGCACATGTATATATTCCTAATGTTTTCACAATCTTTTGTTACTAGCAGATCAGTACTGTTGACGCAACACTGCAAAATCCCTCCCTCATTTCTCTTTGATGGATACTAGAATTGATAGTTTCAAAGTAAGATGTCAAAGTTTTGAGTAAAAATAAAAATATGAATAAATTATCACTAGACAATTGCCAATGGCATTAAATAAGCTCACTGGCACCCAGTAGTAGAGTTCAAAAGTATACAGTATGCTTCTGTGAACTAAAGATGGCGGTCAAAGAAACAAACTAGAAATACATGCTTGGCACAGCCCTTACAATTAAATGTATATGTTATGTTGGTTGGGGTGTTGTACAAAGATGGGCAAGAGAGAAAGCCACCACATAAAAGAGCAGCGTTGTACAGTTAGTGGAACAAGGAACAGGTGCGTGCCCCGTTCCAGATGACATAAACAGACTATCGAATCGCTAGCAGACGGATCTTGGATGAAGGAGACTGTACAGAGGGAAAGAACAAAACCCACGCTGTGTTGAGAGGAAAAGCAGACCTGCAGGCCAAGTAAAACGTTAAAACTACAGAAAGATTCTAAAGCCAGTGAATGGTAATTACTGCCAGTGGGAAGCTACCCCGGATAAACAAAGTTCACTATATGGCAACTGCTGTGCTATATTAAGCAGGAGAAGGGAATCAACCTGCAACCGAATTAAAGCTAAGAGAGGAAGAGAAACTATGACCAGAGCCCGAAAGCGAAACTAAAACAAACAAGGAATTCCAAACTATAGACCTGCATATAGAACTAGCTTGAGTGTAGAAAGCGGCATCTTAATTTTTCCCTGGTTTCTAACAACGGCAGTTTATGTGTATGAAATTCTACCAGTGGCAGCTATTTAGACAAGGACTGTTAAGTCAAACAGGAGTTCAAACAAAGGTTTGAAACAAAGCTCGGTTTATTTTAGTGTACTTTATTTTTGATTTCCCTTCTGTTACAATAATTGCCATTGAACTCTGAAACCATATGGGGTGTGTCCATGTTGTGAGCTCTGCTTATTTCAGTGTCCATTCCCCCGTGGCATCACTATACAGTAATACTATATATAATGGTATACACTGTACATACAGTACAGAAAAATTAAATGTCTGTTTTTGTGCGTGAGAAACTCCAACATCTCAATTAAAAAGGTATGCAAAATCAGGTGCTCCAAAATGTGCAAATGATTCATTTATCTGCGATTCCAACTGTATATAAAATCAGAAATCATTTTGGTCTTAAGCACTCAAGTTGTTAGTAATACCTGATGGCCAGATCAAAAGAAATCTGCAACACTTTTAGCGAAAGAATTGTTGCTGTTTATCAGTCTGGGAAGTCCATAATTTCATGGCAAGAAAATTTACAACTGGAGAAAATTCAAGACAGTTGCCAATCTATCCAGGAGTGGATGCCCTACCAAATTCTTTCCAGAACTTGGATGTATTGCCGTCATCAAGTCTACCATGAATTCCAGACTGCGCCGGAGTATTCTGAAGGAAACTGCAAGACCACTAAAGGTGAACCAAAAGTGAAAATTAGTGAATTATTCAAAAGTAACATTTGTTAAGACCGTATTTGGCCTGGAAGTAAGGTGATTAGCAGTGCTAGAACACATGATAAAAAATAAAATACATTTAAATTCAGGAAAAGAAAAAAGAACAGTGGTAATGAAACCATTTTATTGAATCTTCCAGTAGAGACTTGATATTCATGGAATAAAACTGCTTTCTGGTAATACTAAATCAGCAAAAACAGCAAAACACAAAAAATAAAACAAAAAATACAGGGGACCATTCTGTAAAAGTGTAGTTACATGAAAGAAAACCTTTTCAAAGTTAAAATACAAAAAGTTAAAATTAATTCAGTCTTGTACAGCATTTCAAAAGTTGCCAGGGATTTCTACGCATAAAAAACAGTATTCAATCAAAAATCTACACTTTTGAAAATGATATTTTATAGGGCTGCTATTTATTCTGTGCAGAAATAATCACAGCCGTCTGTTCAAATCTTTTTAAAAAACTTGGCTACCAAACTCTCAAGCAGAACTAGATTTGATAGTCACTTAGCAATCACTCTGAGCTGCAACTCAGGGAAAACAGCATGAAAAATGAAAAGCATTGTCACTGCAGGAATGAACATCAGCTGTATGATGTGTGTTGGGGCATCTGCAGCTGTGCTCATTTCTGTCATCACATTATCAACTACCTGCAACCCCCTGCATGCTAACCTAGCCCAACTACATTTCCAAGAGGATTTTCGCAGGACTTTCACTAATGTGGAATACATCTAACACTACTTTAAGTCAATTGAACACTTGGAAGATTGTTACACAAGTAGAGAAAGATTATGAACACTGAGTTCAACACCGCTGCCTCCCCTTATTGGGAGTCCCCTTGAATGGGACAGTTTTCACAAGTAACCAAGGGGCTTCTTCAAAGTTATTTCCTAGCCCCATCTGTGCAATTTTCTGACCCTACAACAGAACATAGTTATGTGGGTGGGATTTTACACTAAACATTTTTACAAATATTGACATAATAGAATAGTAAGCTAATAAATTGACAAAATAGGGACTAAGATTTGATTATTATTTTTAAATTGGTCACCTTCCATCTCCTCCCCCAGCTCCTTATCATCAATGTAACAACCCATTAACCTGCTTGGGTATACAATGGAATACTGCAACGTAAACTAGGAACAAAGAGAAATTCTCAAGACCAGCGTAGATACTTGTAAGGAGTATGATGGTCTGATTATTACAGTTGGTCACAAAGATCAAGTATCTTCCAGTTGCCCACACATCCCCATGTCATTATGCAATGTGCCCAATTCAGACATCCTTCAAGTAAAATGTACCCCCCCCACCACCCCAAAAAAACCCAACCCAGCCTTTTGAAATCCAACACTTGTTTTCAACTGTGTCAGGCGCGGAAGCAGTTTTGTCTAGGACACTGATGAAATGGGGTTATGGGGGGATCCCATCTGCGTGAGAACTTTATCCAGCCACTGCAGGGGACCATGCAAATGAACCTCAATCCAGCACGGGGTGCTCGTGACATCCTGACGGTGATATTCAGCTCCCCAGCCCTGGAAAACAACGACAAATAGTCACTGAGCCGCCCAAAGTCCAAAAAAGCAACTGCAGACAACAAATAACATTTACTGCATTATGTACAAAACAAATAAAAAAGACAACATTTATCTATCCACTAATCTTATCTTTATCCATCGTCACTTAATAGAGCAATTTCAACTCGCATTCAATCTGAATATATATAGGGCTTTACAGTGGTAAAATTCCCATGGCTTCAAGTTATATTGCCAGTACTTCGGATAAGCGCTTCCTAGTAGTGTTTTTTCCTCAAACTGGCTCAGTCTTTTGGAAGAGACATTCAATAAACATGGATGATTTTAGCAAAGGACGTTGCAGAAGAAATGGTCAGTGCGCTGGTGATCCTTTCATCTTGGTAGAAAGTGTTGAATGACTGATGGTTAGAGTTTCGCGCTTGACAGGCAAGGCAAATTCTGATGCAGTGAAGGAATTTAAATGCATTGCTACTCTCTTATATTGGATAAATGGTCCAAAGGTAAAGCAGACCGGAGAAACCGACAAACATTCTGTCTTATAATGTAACAAGTCACGCTGGACGTGCTGAAAAAGTGCAACTTGAGCAGAAGACCCAAGATATTTTGTTTCTGCATTTTGTGTAAGGATTAAAGACAAATTAAGATATTCTTAGGTTAAAACAGATTTCAAATTGGTTTGTCCAGGAGAAAAGTAAGCACTGTACTCAAGAAAAGAAAATTGTGCTTGATACCTGTAGGAAGGTGAACACGGAATTCCAGTCAGGTGCAATATTATTAACAGTCAGAGAACATTAAAAAGCACGTAGGAGGTCAGCCTCATTTTAAAGCAGAAGGCAGTTATAATTGGTTAATAAGAGGCATTAGATGGGTTCTATATGCGAGTAATAAAATTCACGGATCCAGAAGTTTCAAAAACATTTGTAAAGCAATTAAAATAATAAGTTATGTTTCTCAAAAATGGAAAAAAATCATACTTCTTGGATTAATTTACAGCACTTTAAGACATGAATATATGGACAGGAATTTTAAATGATCCTTGTGATGTTAAGTATGAGGCTGACTCTCTTCTGTAGTGCCCAAGTGAATTTGCTAAAGAGAGGCAATACAGCCCAACTTCCCCATTTGGCAGTTAAGTAGCTAAATGAAACGAATTTGTCCAGCTGTTTTATGAACTGCAGGGAATCTTTATGTTCTCCTCGTGTTTGCAGGGTTACTGCCAGGTGCTCCAGTTTTCATTCACAGTCCAAAAACATACTGGTAGGTTAATTGGTTTTTGGGAAAACTGGGCCTGGTGCGAGTTTGTGTTTGTCCGTGAGTCTGCTGTGTGGATGTACCCTGCCTTGCCGGGATAAACTCCACAGCTGCCCCATGACCCTGAATTGGAAGAAGCAGTTAGAAAAATGATGGCTGTTTTTTTATAGTACCCTTTTGTGGGGTAGAGACCAAAACAGAACACGACATACTGTTATAAATAAAACTGCCCTCTTCATTTAATTGGTTTCGCATAATTTACGTGTTTTATAATGAGCACTTAGCAACTTAAAATGTTCTTATCTTTTAACACAAATAAGATATGTGATGTATTAAGAAATGCAAACAGCGTTTTCAAAACTCAGATCTACAGTATATCACCCCAACTACAAAATAGTGATATGAGACAACTGTTTAGACAGCAGTTCATTAACTTAAAAATGAACTAAGTTTGTGTTCTTTAGGTATTAATAAAAATAAAAGTAATTGTAAATGGAGACGTTCCCTAATCCCCAGACTAAGAAAGCAGGTTGTGTTAAAAAGGAGCAAATTAATTTTTACTGTCATAAGAAAACCCACTAGTTGTTTATGCTGATTTTACACTTCTGTATTTCAACACATTCCACTTGAAACTAAATATGCAGATCTTATAAGCTCTCATGCTAGCACTGCATTTCTTTCAACAAAAACAAATCCAGTTATGTCACAAAACATTTCAGTTATGCATAAATACCGTGGGGTTCTGTTATTTATAAAATTGCACAAATGAAACGAAAGTAGATTAAACTTTCAAATGGTGAAATGATAGTTTGTTTCCATTATTTACTGTTTGTGAATTTGGCATGAGAACATTGTAAATAAATTCCGAGAACAAAAATTCCAGTACCCGTTAAGATATTCAGCACAAATAACATGGCCTCACTACTGTACAATCCAGGAGTCATCAAGAGTCAAGTACTTCAGTCTCCAAGCTGTATTTACAAGACCCAGTCACAAGCTGCTCAGCAGTGTCAGTCTGAAAGAAGAGGGTATTCTAAGAACACTGCAGACCACCTTTAACCAGTGCCTTTCAAACAATCTATAGCTCAGCCTTGGACATTCGCAGAATAAAAGACAATGATTTCAAAAGGGGTAAAACCAGAGCCTTGACCTTTTCTTTTTTTAGCTTTCCCTGTACTGCAAGGCTTCTAACCTACCTTCACAAAGCTCATGCGAATGGTGCACATCTTCGTGAGCTCGTAGACGGCCTCAAAGCCATGGTTGACAGACTGGGCCAAGAGTTCTGCAAACTCCTGGTTGTTAAAAATCTTCAGGCTGCAGCCGCTGGGGATCTTGCACACTGTGGTTGGGTGGAAACCATGATGGTAGTTGCAGTTTCGACTCTGCACAAAAATGCTGCTGTCACTGAGGCACTCAGCATATACTTCACCTCCGACGTAATACAGATGAACTCCTAAGGAAAAACAATGCATACCAAAAAATGAAACCCAGTGAAAGAAGACATCACAGCTATGATCAACTACCTAGCAGCAATATTTATTTTCTGGTGTGTAAAAAGTTCAATAAACAGTCACAGCAACATGGTTTTTTGAAAGAATTAGACCATTAAAAACTCATAAGAGAATCCACTGGCTTGTTTTCTCAGCTGTTCCAAGTTCTCGTCCTTAACATATCCAAGAGATGCTGCTACTATAATTTTATTGCTGCAAGAACTGAAGGCTGAATAACATCAAAGGGGACTACTAAACATGCGTTTTTACAGGTCTATAAAAGTCTTCGAAATAATTAGGAATTCCAATAAATATATTATGAGCATCAAGGTTTTGCTCAAAGCTCATAGTTTTGCTCATTAGTGCATTTCTCTGATATAAATATGATAACTATTTTGGATGTAAAGTAGCCAAACTTGCCCTTTAACAATCTGTAATTCACATCGATCAGAATCTTCAAAAACTCAATGCAAGGTGTACCTGTATGTGAACAATCAATATAAGGCACTGTGGTAGATAATCCTTCACATTCACCAACCAAATCTAACTGACTCCTTGTCCTCATTAATTTCATGTGTTCCTCTCTACACATCCACAAAGGTACACGGCTACACTTTTTATACTAAGAAACGTGTTGGGATTACCATTGCAAAAAAGAGTTTTCTGGATAAGACAGTAAAAACTGTTTCACAGATAATAGATGGGCTCAAAACATCCGAGACTGTTGCACAGCGGTGTATAAAGTGATCAAACGAGGCGTCCTCGCTGAAGTACCTTTTCCAATGTGCCGCCTAGTGTTCTCAATGGTGGAGTTGCGGTTCACGTTGGATAGGAGCCCGAGGCAAAACCGGTTCCTGTTGTTCGAGGGATCAGTGAAGCCGTCCACCAACACGCTTGTGGAGGAGGCGTGAAAGGCCTCTCCCACGCGATTGTTGAGCTCGTAGTAGACAATAGAGCACCAGTGTTTGGGCTCCTCATAGGCCACTGGCTGAACATCTGCAGAGGAAATACAAAGTCAAAGGGCTTCGGAAAGTAACAAAGAGCCTGTGTCACGGCCACAGTGCCCCGACAATTACAGTAAACCTTTCTACACCCCGTTTTTAAAAAAACTCTTCCCCAACTCCTAAAATTGTGCTCCTTTCCAGTTATCGCACCTTTGCTTCAATTAGCAGTTCAATTTACTATTGAATCTATTAAAGGATTTACCCTTACTCACAATTACTCATTTTGTAAAGAAGACATATGCATCTTTAAGCAATAATAAACAAAATATCGAGGATGTTAAAATATTAAATATTACTTTTTTTAAATGCCATTTAGTACAGAAATTAGGAATCAAATTAACAGTGAAGTCTTGCACACAGCTATTAAAAAGGGAAAATGAGTCAGTATATCTTTGTTTTTCTACAATACTGATTTTAGAATCCAATCAGCAATAATCTGAAATGGTGAAGTCTCTCTAAAATACACCCCAGGTTTATAGGAAATGTCCCGCACTGATGAGCTAAAAACAGAATATTTTTGGTCTTGAACAGAATGACTACAAGGTGACTGGATTTAAACCTTCAAAATCGTCACAAAAACTGACAAAGACAACCATCAGGCCTCTTCAGAATCAGAGAAACATGTACCAGAGAACAGAAGAAGACTCAGAACAGGGAGTAAGGAGCTGTGGGTGTGTGGAACAAGCTGCTCAGCCAAATGGCCCCTTCTCGTATGTGACTTTTGTTTGCGCTTATGATCTCAAATGCGCAACATAGAAAGATCAGCCGTTCTTAAACTTTTGAAAAAGATTTTGCATATTTTAAGTAAATATCAAGGACTAAACGATGCCCACTTTTTGGTTTGACAGAAGAGATGCCAGTTGGCCAGTGTCCTAGAATAAATTATGTTTATCTTGTGCATATTTCTTGCAAACATCCTTTACAATGCATCGTGAGCAGGTGTGTTTTGTCTCTCCATTCCCAGAAAAGGCCAACAATGGAAACTACCGTACTACACAGGATGCAGCTTGTTAAATCTAATCTCTGAAGCCAACTTCCACCAACAAGTTCAACATTTGCGCAAGTTCCTTTGATACCCATGACTGCAATTTGTTGACATATTTTACAGGAATATAACAGTTTGCAGCATAATTGTTTAAACATAACTTTTCACACAGGCATGCACCACAATGGGGAGGTATGACACTGAAAAAAAGCCCACTACCCACTTCTTATGCAAAAATGCAAAATTTTCAATGTTATAATGTGGGTAAACATGTCATGATCCATACAGACAGCATTTTCATTTAAAAAAATAAATTAAAAAAACTTCATCCTTGACATTTTAGCTTAAAAGACTCATTTTAACTCAATGCAATGCATCTTTCAGCATGCCATTTCACACGGTCTGTGAACAGACCCTGGTGATGTGTCCATAGGGATGAACACACTTCAAACACAGATCTCCATGATATACGAAAGGATCTTGTCAAGTCTGATATTACGATGGTTCCTAAACACACTTAATTTAGCTTGCAAAGCAGTAGAGGTGCAAACATATGCACAAGACCTTTTTATTTAGGTCTAATTCAATATAATTAATCTAATTAATTGTAATTATGGAATCAAGACTATTAACTATGTACAAAGCTGGCATCAGCCAAATGTTCTAAGAGCTACTAAGACACAAAGCTAAAACAATGTTGTCCTCAACATTAGGCATTTATCCTGAAATTATTCAAACATCACCCCAGTTACTTTAATTCAAACATATTTCCATCACTTAAATGTATAATTCAATTAAAATAATACCTCTAATGTACATATTGTCTGAATAATGCTTAAATAAAATATTGGTTCCGCAGTTTGCAATTTCACTTTCATTTTGAAATGAGAAATATTAATTCCAATCACTTTAATGCAATTTTGTAAAGGCCAATATCAAAACTACAGCATTTTTTGGTGGCAATATATTTAAAGGATATGCAACACGTACAGAAAATCTTGCAGTTCCAAGTGAATTCTTAACTGAAGACAAGCATGTCGGCTCTCGCCAGATCGCAGACACCTGGGCCATCAAGTCATGTCCAACAAGAGGCCATTAGCCCTAGTTTGAATGGTGCGGTGAACCACGCTAACTGGACAGCGCTTGTGGTTTTAACAAACAGTACCATAACAACAACAGAAGCCCAGCTTTACTCAGCGTAACACCAGAAGCTACCCAGTAACCGGTTTTGTTTCATTCTGTGATTGTTGTTTCTCACCAGTCGAGTTTAATTACGCTGATCTAAAAGCGTGCAGCTCAGCACAGCAGCGCTGCCCTGTTTCCAGTGCTCTGTTGTGGTTACCTGGCCTATTGTTGATTTCAAGTGGCAGGGGAGGAACCAGTAAATTAGATGTGTCCATAGGCTGGGAGCAATCCTGCGTCATCTGATCCTCGGGGGGCATGTACGCAGGTGGCGGAGTTTCAGCTGAAAGGAGAAGAAAAGTCGGTTCATTCAGACTGGAGGTACTCCTTACACTACAGCCGGCCCATTGCCTCCAGCATCAGGTCACGTCCGAACTGCAAGGCCGGGCCACGTTCTGTACAGCAGCTCACCGCCTCCCCACTCACAGCATCAGAAACGAGCTCGAGAAAGACAGACAGGAGGTGGCCCAGGCGTGCCGCTGAGGGGCGAAGAGGGGCGAAGGGCCCGCGCTCACCTGGCATCTGGAAGGGGCTGCCGGGGTCGGAGCTGCCCGGCGAGTGCGGGAAGGTGCCGCTGCTGCCGCTGCCCGGCGAGTTGGGGTAGCTGCTGTTGGGGGAGTGAGGGAAGGGGTGGCTGTTGGCCGGGGGGAAGGAGTCGGGGAAGGTGGCGTTGTGCGGCATGTGGGGCTCGTTCTGGACCGGGTTGCGGAACCGCGGCAGGAGGCTGTGCTTCGCGTTGAACTCGCTATTTCTGGGTACCAGGACAGGGGGGAGCACTGAAAGACCGGGAGGGAGAGACAAAAACAATAACTAAGCTATTACTCACGCCATCCGTTAAACTACATCGCGATTGCGCACGGGATCTTTTAAACATCACTGAAGGAGTGCTGGAAACGCATTACAAGCGGCGGGTTTATCCAGGAACAGGAACGTTCCCGAGAAGAGAAACGCATATACGTGTTATTTATACAGAGCTGTACAGAAAACAAAATGCACTCTTCTGATACAATACAGTATGTGACCCCAGGAGCGCTTCCCTCAGATTGTCTGTGTGTCAATAAGCCCCTGAGACCAGCTGGCTGGAAAGAGTGTGAATCTGAGCCAGGACAAGCGGGGCGCTTTAATTACTGCATTAAAAATGTCCCTGTCTCCGAGCTGGCAGCAGATGCTCTGAATTTTTGGAATTACAGCTTATACATTGTTATTTCAAAGGCATTTTGCCTCCATGCCAAAAAATCTGTTCTGAAACAACATCTTCATTGTGTTCTCTTTTGTTTTTTTTTTAAACTTCTGCAAAACATTCTACAAATAAAAAAGTGAAATATATTGCACGAAGCTGAGAAAAACTTTTTGAGGCATTTCCCTTTCATGAAGAAAGAGATCTAAAAAAAATTGAACTTCAAAGTTGTAAACAGGTCAGGGCTTGTCTGTTTTAATTCAAACGGTCTTGAAAAATAACTTTACTAACTGTGCCTGCCTGATGTTTCCTGAAAGGCTTTAGCAACTTATCTGGCAGGGATTTTGCTCCTTTCAGAAAAAAAAAGTGCTACTATACTATGGAGTGAAGGCTTTTGTAAATTTCGAGTAGCGCATGGGAGAATACGAATCACAAACGACTTGTTTTACTAGATGCAATGCCAATTTAAGTGCTCGAGTCACATTTGCAAAAAGCAAAGGTGAGTTAAGCTACAGTATGTAAATGATTACAGTCTATGTAGTGTATTATGTCTGTAACAATCAAGGTGCCAAGAGTCGACACACAGGGAGAAAAGATTAGCATTTAACTTACAATAGAAAACTAGGATTTTTATGGAAAATAATTAGTTGAGGGTGGTAGGATATTATACAACCGTATTAACTGAACAAATTCACAACATGTCCAACAGAGGGTAAATTACCCTTTAAAGACATGGAACAATTCATTCCAAATCTAATGGAAATGTATAAATGAAATTATTGTGAACAAAAATGACAAAAGAGTTTTTTTGAGGGGGGAACATTTACTTCACCTGATGAGGTTCTTTGATTTTGTGGCACTCCGCAGTCATAAGATAAGATCACTTTATTGACCATATACAATTTTTTGTATTAGGGATTTTCGTATACCCCAACCTGCTCTCCCTAAGACACACAGACAGGGAGAGAAGCTTGGGGTCAGAGCACAAAGTCAGCCATTTACACGGCGTCCCTGGAGCAGTTGGGGTTAAGGGCCTTGCTCAGGGGCCCAACGGAGTAGGATTCCTCTGCCGGCCGCGGGATATGAACCGGCAACCTTCCAGCCATAGGCACAGATCCTCAGCCATAGAGCCTCATACAAGTGTTTCACTTTTGCAATCGGTATGCAGAAGAAAATCCCAGTGAGCTCCTCTCCACTTTGCTTAGGATGCAGGGCTTACTAGGTACACAACCACCACATGCTCACACTGGCGAAGCACCCTAAACGCAGTGATGAAAGTCTAAACTGCTAGCACTCCACCATGCAACTAACTTTTTACCACAATGCACAAGTTGTCCACATTTTTAGCAATTTTTTTAAAAAATCACAGATCGGGTGACATGAAAATCCTATTCAAGGTCAGATCCGAATAGGACCTTCCTTCCAGAGACGTATTCGAGGGCTCTCTGGCCTGGTGCTGTCAGCGATGAAGACCGCATTGCGTCTCTCTCTGCAGCTCCAGCTGGAGGCTCTCAGGAGGTGGTATGAGGTTTCAGGGCACGTGCAGGTCAGGGTAGTGTCCCATACAGCAGTGGCAAACAAAGGGCTGCCTTGCTGGCCGAACCGCTGAGCCTACACAGCACTCTTCTAGCTCCAGCTGTTGAGGGCTCCCAAACGCACACACACAACAACACAAAACAGCAAACATTACAACCTAATTGGGATGCTTAGGCAGTTAAATACTAAAGAAAATGAAGAGTGTAAAAACGCTCACCTGAAAACACCCAGTGGCCATAAATAAAAACAGAGTAAGGATTTCCTCTCATTTTTAACTTTCAGCATATCTAATCCTGTTTCTCGTAGTTAACTAATCTGAAGATGCCATTCAGCTGTTAATTAAAAGAAGCCAGGGTGACGGCTTCAACAACATGGCTGGACAGCTTGTTCTAGACTCCCACCACTGTCAGATCTGAAAGAGGTCTGCTGGGCTGACTGTCAATGCCTTTGAGGATTTTGAATCTTTACATCAGGATCACCTGTAGTCTTCCCTGCGCAAGACTAAAAAGCTTCAAGATTTTACCATGTCTAAAAAAGATGTTTGTTTAAGCCCAAGGTACTGAATGTACCTGGTTGCTCTTCTCTGGACTAATTCCAGAGCAGCAACAATTTTTTGTAACATAGTAACCAAAACTGTACTCAATGTTCTAAATGAGGTCTTACTAGTGTATTGCAGTAATTTAACATAAGCTCCATTGATCCGAATTACCTGCTGTTAACTATGTATCCTACATTGGTTGCTTCCCCATAGCATTTAGAAGATTTAACCGATGTGTCAGCAATCAAATATTTGCAGAAGTAATTTCTTCAAGCTCAGCATATCCCATTTTGGACATAGTTTATGTCTTTGCCTCTAATGCTCTGCAATTGTCAACACTAAACATAATTTGCTGGACTGCCCAACCTTGAAATCTACCTGACTTTTTGTGCATTTCCCACGTTAGCTACCCTCATATTTCGGCATTGCCTGCAAACTTGACTAGTTTCTTAACAATACTAGAAATGAACCTTCCTCTTCAATGAACTCTTCCCCCCCAGAAAAGTATCTTCTACGTCTATAAGAGTTAAGGCAGATGACGAACAGCATCAGATGGGCACTGACCACAATCATTAAAAAAGAGGGACTTGTTTTTTTTATTAAAGAAGAACTTTAAGATTTCACTCCGTTTTCCTTCCATTTATAAAAGAATAAATTATACAAAAAAATCTCCCAGTCATAACACTGGAAAATTATAATTGCTGGCCTTGAAAGATTCGTTTGTTTTTTTCCTTGTTTCTTGGCTGGCAAGAGAGGGACCTTAGGCACTGTTAGGCTTTGATCAGTTTGCTGGTTCAAAACACTCCCAGACACCACATGTACCCGCACAGTGCAGCTCTTGTAATGTGAGCCTCCAAGCATCACCGTTTTCCTCCTTGCTTTCTTTGTACAGGACAGCAGGAAAGAGCTAAAAGACAGGCAGGTGCTGGGGGTCTTGCTGAGATCTGGGAGAGTACACAAAATGTAAACCGAGCACCACTCTTTCCTACAATTGTGTGGGCAGGCAGGCCAGATGACAAACTTCCTACTCCACTCTTCGCTCTTCCTCAAAGCGGCAGCATGTTCTCTGCAGCCTGCTGCACAGAGCATGCCCAAGACAAAGCTCTTAGTCTCCACGGCTGGAATTTCCTGCTCACGCTCTTAAAGAACCCCCTCCCCAGCTCTCTCAATGCAGCTGTTTCTGTCTTGTCAGCTGACCCCGTTCTTCTGCTTACTCAACAAAAAAGCATTTGATGGCTTTCTTGCCTAGGAAAAGAAAACTTCTTTTAATTTAGGATTAATGTACCCACACAGTACACTCTCTTAGTTTCTAACTGTACTGAAAGAAACAATCGACTACTAAGTGGCAGGATTTCCAACAGTAAAACAAAATCATTTCTCATACATCTGGTTTCCAAAAGATAAGCACCTGGTTGACTGAACTGGGATATCAAAGACAAAAAGGATTAAACATCTGCCCAACTCCTGGGAAAAGAAAGTTTATCAGGAGGATTAAGATATACTAACACATGGTCTGATAATCCAGGTTTTCTAACGCGATTATGTTCATTCTTGCGTAGGCTAATTTTTGGCGAGCTTTTTGCTTTAATTCAGCTGCAAGATGAAGTACAAAGATGAGTAGGCAAACTAGCAAAGTCGAGGAAAAAAAACTCAAAGGCAAGAAATGAATTTAAAAAATGCTGGTCTCAAAGTAAAAAAAGTACATAAAACATATGAATCCTTTCATATGGGAATTATACAAGAAAAACATTTAACCTGCATGTATTTAAAAATGTATTAGATAGACTTTTAAAAGAACATACACTAGCATTTATCTGATGATATTTAAAAGGTGCTTTTCTTGACCATTCCAATTGATTCCTCTTGCGTTTGGTATATAAAACAGCACTGCCAGCTTGCTGTACCGATCATGATCCAACTCGATTCTTATTTACAAAGTGAGTGCTTATTATGGACTATATGTAAACTTCCCACATAATGCAGGAAAGTTAAAGAAGTCATAAAACAAAGCACCTACAATTAGGAATCATACATTTGGAGAAAAATTGAGAAAAACTGAAAATTGTGAAACTGCACGTCCTGATATGACAGGTCTCATAATAAACAGCTTATGGGCACAAATTTGACAGCTGGGTAACCAAGTATTTTGGTGATTAAAAAAAAGATTGAAATTATAATTTAATGGTGGGCCATGTTACACTGTATTCTATAACAATAATTTCAATAAAAAAAGAAAATGGTCTGTAAATGATTCACGTGCTGTATTAATTGTGGAACAGAGCGCTGTCTATTCATCCATTTTCTAACAGCATCTTCCTATTCAGCGTCGTGGGGGACCCAGAGCCTACCCCAGCAAGCAACAGGCTCACACAAGACAGGGTACACCCTGGACGGGACACACACACTCATTTAAGGGCCCACGTTCCCTGAAGCCAATGAACCTACCAGGATGTTTCTGGACTGCGAGAGCAAACCCACGCAAACACAGGGAGAACGAGCTCCACACAGATCACGCCCCCCGTCTAGAACTGAACCCAGGGCCCCAGTCTGCAGAGCAGCGGTGCTGACCACTTTACAAACACACCGCCACAGTGTGATCTCAACGTACCGTTTTAGAGGCCATACGCTCAGCTGAAGACAAGGGACCCTGCAGAAGGGCTGAAGAGGAAACGGCAAAACCTGTCTCTTTGTGCTCCCGCGGAAAACCAGACTATTGCACTCTCAGAGCCTGGACAGGTTATATCGACAGTAAGTGGTAACTTCGGGAGGCTTGGAGGGACTGCTTGACTCCAGCCTCAACAACCACTTCCCAGATGGATCGATTGATAATGGGCAGTCATTATTTGAGACTAATTCATGAACTGTGGAAATTGTAATGCTTCTAATTCTATTGCTAGAATTTTATTCTTTGAAAGAGTTGTATACGTTGCTGTTATAAAGTTTATTGTCCCAAAATAAAAATCCCAAAAAAGGCAATACTTAAAAAATACCTCCTGTGGAACAAACATCGACTAAGCTGTTTGATCATGAATTGTTTTTCAACCAGAGCATTTACCCTGAATCCATAGTTCCACACAGAACACTGCCCATTTTAAAGGTCTAAAATCCCTCTCTCACTTCTCTGATCTCTCGTTTTAAGCAAACACAGGAGCAAAATTCTTATCTACCCAGTCTGATCATTTTAAAGTAGAGCATCAAAACAGCAAAAAACTTCACTTCATGTACATTTTAAAAGGGATCAAGGAGAGCATCTTCCAAACACTTTGACATAATTATGCACTCCTAACCTTAAATCATCAATGCCACATTTAAGAAACCTACCAATCTGACTAAACATACCATACCAGAAGTCTGGTTTTGCACTGTATGACAGAAATATTACATTTCTAGTCTTAAAACTGCTACAATTCTCAAGCCCTTGTCTAAGAGGACATCTTTCACTGAGGTCTAGAAGGGCAGGAACCCTAACCCTCCTGTATTTTGAATGGTCGATCATCTTTGTGGAGCCGCTGTATCCCCAATGCCCGTGGGGCGACAGAACCCGGTCCCTCGCGCATCTCGAAAGCCTCTCGGAGGACATCGGCCACCTACCGGGACTGTCCACGCGCTTGTAGTGGTAGGGGTTGATGCAGACCTCTTTCTGCTTGGAGCCGAAGGGGTACTCGCAGCACTCCAGGGCCTTCAGCTCGTGGTGGCTCTGCAGGTCGGGCCAGCGCCACACCCGGCAGTAGATGACGTGCGGCAGGCCCTTGCGGTGAGACACCTGCAGGCGGCCGTCCAGGGAGCGGGGGATGGTGACGCAGTTGCTGGGCTGCCCGGGGCAGCTGAGCGCCTTCTCCAGCTCCTCCATGGCCCCCTTCTTCTTCTTCAGCTTCTTCACCAGCGCGTCCACCGCCTTCTCGGCCCACTTCTCCTCCTCGTCCCCCTGCTTCCAGCCCAGCAGCCGTTTCACGGCCGGGCTGGTGAAGGAGAACAGGCTGGTCACGTTCATCTCTCCTGCCGCCTGCTGCCGACGCCACCACACTCCCACAGCCCGCAGGCGTCTGGAAACCACGGGGCCCCCTCGGTCCTTCAGGGGACTGACCGCTCCGTGCCTGGGGAAAACGGGGGCTCAGGAGTCGGATTCCGTCTTCAGGAAGGCACCCTGTGCCCGCTGGATGCACCTGAAAAACACAGAAGCCGGGCTGATCATGAGCAGCCGCTCACGGGAAGAATGCTGTCCAAAAAAAAAAGAGCATTGATGGTCTTGGGCGAAAACAGTAGCACGCCCACCCGGAATGGAACCCAGCTCAGGAAGCAAAAGTTACAATTGGCAGAACATCCTGGTCTCGGGGAGGAATGATGTCATTTTAGTGCAGCTTCTCGGAACTGATGGGCTGAAGTCACGGTGGTCAAGCTGCCTGTTACTGCTGCCGTGCTTGTACAGCGCCAGCACAGTCTACAGGCCAGCAGCCCGACAGCACCAGGGTCTGGAAACCAGAGCTTGGCCCCTCCTCGTCTCCAGCAGCCTTTTAAACAGGCTGTTTTAAGGTACAAGAAGGGATGTCAGAACTGCAAAACCTATTATTATTTCTCGGGCACTTCACATTTTACCAAGGTGAACTATGAAGGCATATAGAAAATATTTGTCGTTAACCAAATTTGATATGCAATTACATTTTAATCGAGACTTATTGCTGCATGGCCACCTGCAATGTGCAAAATGAAAATTAAGTTCATTTTTAATATTGTTCCCAAACAAAACTAAACAATTTGAGGTATTATAATACCACACCCCCCCCCGCTCTGGAGTTTTACTGACACCTCCGTCTGGAAATCCCAACACAGTGAAATGTATAGGTTTCTCAATACTGTGATCACCGTCAACAGTTTGCGAATGATTAACAAAACGCTGGATATCGCTTGGGATCCTCCACAATGTGCAGTTGAGAGTCAAACCGAACTAAAATGAACACTGCTTTTTAAAATTTCCAGAGCTCAGTTTTCCTCTTTTGACAATGACCACATGATTACCTATTCTTACAAATAAGGAAATACCAGATGTGCAATAAAGGAAATTAATATGGACCATTTTTACCACTTCCACTGTGGTCACTTGTCTTTTTTGGATGCGGAAGCTCCTCTATACTAGCAATTATGGTTACAGTGTGCTTAACCTGGCTCATACGTCTAAGGATATATTTTCATTCGGGAGACCTGAGCTTCTTTTAGTCGCAAATTCTCCTTTAAAACCAGTGTCAGGTGAAATTAAACTTGTACTGAAGGTTGTGTTCAACCACAGATTTGAGACCAACCACAGATGTGCACGAAAGTATGAAAAACTATTTTAGAACAAAAATATTACTTTCTTCATGCTATTTATAGAAGTCATCAAAAAATAAGTTTAGAAGCATCCTCAGTCTACAGTGAGACCCCACCTTTCACATATCATTCTGATACTCAGAGTTGGGATCATAAACGTTTTACTTTGGAGTCAGTTGGTAGACCTCTTACCGCAAAACATTGTGGCACAAACTGAAAAAAGCAAATAAATCTGATTTTACCAAAAGTAAATGGTCACCAGGAAAAAATGAAATTTTCCATTTAAACACACGAATCCCTGAAGCATCCGATTTGACTTTATGCCCACAACGCTCAGAGAAGCATCTCCGAACGTTATCACTATAAACCTGATTTTTTTTCCCCAACATCTCATAGAAAAATACCAAATTAAAATCTCCCTCTTTCCAGTTTCTAATTTTAACTTCTTTGTTACGCGGTCACTCGTCGGGCTGAGCTCCAAACATCAGCTTACGGTTTCTATCTATCTATGGCGAGACAAGCCCAGCTCCGCAGGCACACGGAGATGTTCTATTTAAAAACAGGTGCTGTTTACAACACACTGGAGAGGAGGCCATCGACATCACGAACCCCAGGCACAGGAAAGTTAAAAGTTACTCCTATATTTAGCCCCCCCCACCACTCCCACTGTTACAGCTAATTTAAAAATCAGGGGACCTTCTGCAACGGAAACACATCCATAACCAAGAGCAGCATCAAAGGAAACATCTTTACAGGAGATATCCTTCAAGAGGCCCGCACGCACGCCCATGCCCCTTTCCACATTGTTGTCCAACTCCTCTGGGAAGAGCAGGGGATTTATTTCTTTTTATTGCGGCAGCACCGTCACTTCCTGCCCTCCGCCAGCTCCGAGCTCTCTACAGGTGGACCGCAGGAGCTGGGGGAACAATCGGACCCTCCCTGAGACCGCCTGGCCACTTCCTCGCTCCGAGCCGCGGCTCATCCGCGCCGTTCTTAACCCCTTCGTGGGGAGAAGGGCAGGAGAGGAGTCCCGCTCCTTCACTGCGGAACTGCAGCCAGGGGTCTGGATTAGACCACACTGGCTTCACTGTCCACTGCTGCACACGTCTGCCTTAGGTTTTGCCCACTGCAGATAATACAATCCACTGAAAAACAACAGCAAATTCATCTGCGAATGTAAAAGGATATCGTCGTATTTTTATTTTTGTTTCTGTTATGTAGCTGTGGATGGGGAGGGTTTTAAAAACAGCTCCTGAAAAAAAAATCAACAAAAGACACACCTTTAAACAAGAACAATTCTGAACATTTCTTCCTGACTTCCATGAACTGTTCACATGGTGGAGAAGAAAAAATGTAGTTAAAACGGGTGATCCAGTTAGCTTTTGATTACACACTATTTCAGACAAAAGCCCCAATTTCCAAAAACGTGACGCAGCCCCGAAAATTCTGCAAAAAAAAGCTTCATATAGAAATGCAAGTTCATAAACTTTTCACAATGTTTTCACAATCCTCAAAATGCTCAACCAGGTTTGACTATTACTGACTTACAGAACATGCAACAAAACCCTTGTCTCGCAACCTTCCCTAAGCTACATTAAAATTTCAATTCAGTTCAGTCAGAAGAGAAACAGATTAAATTAACAGTACTAAAATGTTTCCTTAAAGAAGCCATGGCCAGTTGTTTGATCTCGATAAACTTGAACAAGACAACACAGAGGACTTGAGCAATGGTCAAAACCAGAGGATACGCATTAACCTCCCAGATTTCAGAAAAAAAAAACATTTTAAATATGATGTACCAAAGTGGCTTCTCTGGCAGCAACATTATCCGTTAACTGTGAATTAAAAGCAAATAACATTTTCCTTAAACAGACATGGCTTGCAATACCTGACAGCAGAAATCACGAACTTTAAAAAGGATTTTGAAATAAGTACAGTGAGAACTGAAGCACTTTGAACCATCTAATTCCAGTTGATCACTATCTTGGCAAAGTTGATGTCTCTTTCTAATATGAAAAACATCCCACGACACGTTTTCAAATGTGAAATAATCCCCTTTGAAGCCTACACTCTACCTCCCTTTCCCTGCCAATGGCTTGATCCAATGGGCTATAAACTCAGACGGACAGATCAATGTGGGGCGCAAAAGCTGGACCTCCTGTAAAATAAGCAGAGAGCCTGTCCAAACATTATCTAGGGTAAAAAGAAAACATTTCTCATGGGACTATATTTCCCACAAAGTGAATTGCTGATCTTTCAAAGTCATTAACGGCCGTTCTTCTAATTTTCTGGCTGCTGTTAGGATCCAGTTGTGTCTCGGTGTATCACGCGGCTCCACGTGACCCACTGCTGCATTCTGACAATACAGGCCAACATTCAGATCAAATGTCTGCCACTGCACAGAGATACTCCTCTCACCCTGGCCCAGGGGCCAAGCGCTTACTGGGTTTGCCAACGCCCCCAAAATACATGTATAACAGGCACATTGACGGGCTGTGTTACTTTTATCAGAACCCAAAGTAAGAGCATTTGAGCACCCTAATTTACAGCAACCCCGCAGCGTTATTCACAGCGTCCTTCAACTACGCCACCTGTACAAGACACTGTGTGACACAGTTCTCCCCAGGCCACTCAGAGCTTCCCCATACCAACAAGTATGCTATTTGGAGGCCTCCAGAGCTGCTCTACTCCAAATACTAACAGTGTAGGCAGAATAATGACACTCCACCCAAGCTGCACTGTGTAGACAACTCACCCATCGCACAAATCAAGGAAAGCTTGTTTCCCAGCTAGTCTGACTGCCATGTTTGTGTTTCAATTTAGTTGAACCCAAAACCAGAAAAAAAAAACAGTACTGGCCGTACTTTGGTTCATTATCAGCTGTTATTTTCGGCAAGTACTTTTGGTTTTCCCCCCACACTTTTGATCAGCTCAGCAACATTCTGAACCTGACCCTGGCTAGGTAACTGTGTCAAAAACATTTTCATTCTCCTCCCACCGCTGTCCTTGTTCTTGGTATGGCACTCCAGTACAGTGAGCGTATCAGCGCTTGCAAGGATACAGATTACAAGGCAGTCAGTGAGAGAACATTCTTGTTAAAATCCTTTTATCATCCTTGCGTGCCTGCCTGCCTCTCCTGTGCGTGTGTTTTGCGCGTGTTGTAGAGAGACATCTGAACTTGCAGAAGCTTCAGCCTTTTAACCTGGCTGTATCTGTTCCCTGAAACCAACCCCCAAATGTGTTTGAAGATAAGCGCAGCTGTTTGCCAGTGTGTGAAGAGTATTAAATATGAAACTGAATACAATCCATCCTTCATCCTAAGCCGAAACTTTCAACGCCACTGTAAACACTCGACGAGAGTCCTGCTATAGTGGACCCCACTCCTGTTCTGTGAGTGCCACAGGAAACGCAGCTTTCCCCTCAAAATTCATCGTGCAGACTGATCAGATGCCTTTCGAACCCTGTGTCTCCCTTTCTACGCGGCTGTTCTTCCTCTCTGCAGGTTAATTAATCTCTCAGCTCCCAGACTCTAGGCCAAGTCATTTGAAAAAGCCTAATTGTCAATGTAATGTCTAAGAACAGCAACAACCCAAACATCTGCTTTAAGAACTTTTGAGAAACAGTCCATCTAATGGAAACATGCGCACAAGAGCCTGTTCACTATGATAGTGCACACAGCCAGGGAGGGAAAACATACATCTGTTGAATGTGTGTCAGTACCAGAACCAGAGACATAGCTTACATATACAATAGATAGCAATCTCCAATATATTTTGAGAATGTTATTAAACCACATTCTAAAAAAAAAAATCACTTGAAAGTTTCAATGGTAAATGCAACATTTTCTCTTAAATTGGTGATA